ATATAGTAATTGAATCTAGAGTATTAGAATCGTAATACACGCGGAAGCGGGTTATGATTATTTTAGCATCTCAGGTTAATAATCCGGGTTAATTGCTTGCATAATTGAAGGAATTGGGGGAGTAATAATCACATAGGGGGAAGAATAAAATCCTAGGCTTGCTTATCTTGATTAAATCTTCGTTTTAAATTGCTTTCTTGTTTTTGCTTGTTTTTAATTTAGTTTAATTCTCTCTAAAGTCGACTGTGTAGGGTGGGCTTGATAATAATTGGTAGAATTTAGCGTCTAGGATTAGATAATTAAATATTCCATGTGGGTTCGATATCCGGACTTTTAGTCCACTATATTACTTGTACGATACGTGCACTTGCGTGTAGGTTTTCGGCCAACAAGTTTTTGGCGCCGTTGCCGGGGAATATTTCAATTATTTATTTTATTCTAGCTCTAGATTTGAACAATTTTCACGATTCACCCATTTAATTTTTGTTTTATTTTATTTTTCTTTTTAGGTACAGTGTATGCGCAGGAGACTCGATCTTGCTAGAGAACCGTTTGATCCCGAAATCGAACGTACTTTTCGAGCCGCTAGGAGACTTCAACGCGTAAAAAAATATAATGGAGGACGAAGAACGCAGGGCAGCGGGTAATTTACTCGGGGCCAACGGAAACCAAGTCCAAGAACCACCCCCTCAACTTCCAGCACAGCCAGCAGCACAGCCAGCAGTTCGGCCACGGGCACTTCAAGATTACATAATCCCGACTCATGACGGATTCCGCCCGAGCATCCAATATCCACCTATTGAGGCGCACAATTTTGAGATCAAGCAAGGCCTCTTGACGATGCTCCAAAATAACGGGCTATTTAGTGGATTGGCGGGTGAAGACCCCCATCTTCACATTGTCAATTTTCTAGATACCTGTAATTCCCACCGTCAAAACGACGTTTCCCAAGAGGCGCTACAATTAATCCTCTTCAAGCACTCCTTACAAGGAAGAGCTCGCCAGTGGTTGATGTCCCAAGCCCCCCACTCTATCTCGTCGTGGTCTCAACTCCTCAACCTTTTCATGAAAGTTTACAGCTCACCCGAGAAGGACGAGAGAATCCGACGAGAAATTCATATTTTTTTCCAAGAGCAAGGCGAGCAATTATACGAGGCATGGGAGAGATTTAAAACTCTTTTGCGGCAGTGTCCAACACATGGAGTCGAACAATGGCGGCAAATCCACATCTTCTACCAATGGATCAACGAGAATGCACGAACCGTTTTAGATGCCTCAACCGGAGGTAATTTTATGAGTCAATCGATACCGGATGCATTTATCATGTTGGATCAAATTCCACAAAGCGGTTTGCCAAGTCAAGCGAAAGGACGGTTAGTGGAGCTAAGAAAATTCCCGGAGTGTTGGAGTTAGATGCAATTACGGCCCTTCAAGCTCAAGTGACCCAAATTGCTCAACAAAATCAACTCCTTTTGCAGCACATCAAAGCAAGTCCACCACAACAAGTCCAAGCAATCGATTCTCCATGTTGTGAAATTTGTGGTGGAAATCATTACACGCTCCAATGCCAACAAGATGTGGAGTTGCTCAACTACGTCAACAACGCGCCTCGTCAAGTCCAAAATCAAGCCTCGAGATCACAAGGCAATATGGAGAATCAACAGGGCCAGCTAGTTCCAACACCTGTGGCCTCCTTTTTCTCT